GCAGAAACTCACTGAAGTACTTATCGCTGTGTAACCGTACAAGACTGACCTGATGGCATGTGGCATTGGAACAGAGAGGCGAAGCCAGTAGTCCAGTCGTCCCACAAACAATCCAGCCAAATCGGACTGAGTGGTTAAAGAACTAGGACTTGTTACACCCAGTAGTTCAGCCTGACCATGCCTGCGTATGACTGAAGCTTTATTTGTGATAGCCAGTTCATCACCGTCTGTTGGAGGGTGGAGAAAAGTTAACAGCTTTTAACTGACCAACATTGCAATGTAAAAAAGTAGTATCAGGATAATATGCATACATGTCCACTTAAATAAATGCAGCAAATGTAAAATAGCTTATTGGATCTAATCGTAGTTGGAAGGAAACAAAGTTCTTCGCCGTTTTTCGTTTGAAAATAAGTTAAACATTTAATTCGTGGATAGGACCGGCGAAATTGGAAGAGAACCACGCTGATGACGGGGTGCAATGATTTGGCTTGGACAGATAAAAACCAGTGGAGGACAGTGTGGAATGGTCGACTAACCGACAACCAAGTCTGTGAGAATTTTATCATTCGAATACTAAGCTACATATCAGAAATACCATATGTAGTAGAAGATCATTCAGGGGTCAGGACAACATACAATGGTATCATCGTTATTAATAGGTCGGTGACAAAAGCTGATGCATAATGATCTAAAAGCTACGACAGAGTAACTTCGGCAATAACCTCGAAATAATCGACAGTGGATAAAGCTTATATTAGAACAAACCCAGATCTAAAACGCGCCTCCTTTGTGACGGAACGATCAAACCGAAGTCGGGTTCATGAGATATCCACCAACAAGATTGATTGGGAATTTGACAGCTCGGATTTACCAGTTGTTTTCACATCGCAGATAATTCACTCAAATAAAAGCTACTACCGCCCTCACATCTCCACCCGAAAGCCATTTGCGAAGATATTGCTATCATTAACACGCAGTGTTTGAGATTATTTCTGGTTTTCTTTGTCAAACCATCGGTTAATCACATCCCACCATACACCAGTGAGGTCTGGGTGCTCAACAAAGGACACAGGAGGCACTAACAGAGGCATTAACGTTTTAATTACCAGCATAGTCTTTGAAATCTGTGCATGCTTACAGGTGGGATAAATGCACCTATTCTCGTTAACGTGTAACTACTCATCTTGCCAAATAGCGAGTATATTTTTCTTCAAGCTGGTAAACACGAACTAATTAAGGTATTCAGGAAGGGGTCTGAGATGAACCTCGTAAAGTTTCTGAATGGTTTTCTTGTCTAGGCTGGGAAAGAGTAACGAACCCCTTTCTTTCAGCCATCCCGTGATGATACGCAATGGATAGGTAAGACGACATCCAGATGTATAAATCTTTCTCCAGATGTCGTATGCACAAATGCATTGTCCAAGTGTCTGCTGTGTGACATGGGTGTACACTTGCTCTCATTTAAGTCGAGGTTTCAGTCATCAAACCAGCACTTAATTGCATCAGGACCCAATTGTAGTGAACTGGGATCAGTGACATTCCAGCTATTCAGGTCGTCATCATGAATAAGAGCTTTGCTGGAAACACTATCCGAATTAGAGTCGAAAGAGAACCGAGCACTAACCATTGAATAATACCCGCAGGAGTAGGAGAGAAATGAAAGATCTAACTCAGTTTAAAATCAGAAATTATCAGGAAAGGAGATAATCCAGCGAAGAACCTTTTCTTGGATGTCATAAGCTTTCAGTTTATATCTGAGAGATCTTAGCAAAATTTCCGAAATGAGACCACATTTTCTAGCTTCCGGCAAACTCTCCATGAATGCCAGCATACTCTTTACGCATGAGCGGTTAGGTAGAAAGCCATGCTATGTAGAAGAGAAAAAACTACTACCTAGGAAGTGCTTAAGGATGGAGCGTTTTAGCAAGCGTTCCATTACTCTGCATGGGATCCTAGTAAGACTGATTGGTCGGTGGCTAACAGGAAGGCGCCTATCGCCAATCGGCACTTCTTTCCGTGTATTAGGAAGAATGCCTTTTGGAATGTTCCCTTTAAACAGTTCGTGTAGGAGTTCTACCATCATAGCTGCCCTTTTTCTTAGGATTCTAGGGTGGATCTTATCTAGACCCATTGTACTATATGGATTATTCTTGAATAAGTCGCAAAACCTTTCATTCTCCGTCGGGGAATTCGGTACGGTTCGCAGAGTACCAAGGGGCGTTCGGTTCACTGTCACTGATATCCGTTGATTGGTTCCGTCTCCGCTTCCCGTTCAAAAGCAAACGGTGATTAGTAAATTTTTCAACAGGATATCTGCAACAAACACTAGAAGCACAAGTTGTATTTCTCATGGATAGACCATTCCAAATAGAGGGGGACGATCAGCTCTCTACGCACAACTGCAATTCACAAGGACTTTTATGCACATGAGGCGACTTAAATGGATTTTTGTCAATACCAATATCACAAGTCTAAATCAAATAAGATGCCTTCTGGCTCTCGGTTCGCTTCCCACGGAGGTTAAATTCTCTGTCGTTTCTAAAAGTTGTGCTGTGAACTCAGCAGAACAGCTAACTTTAAATGGACCCTACTAAAAATATCTGGACTGGCTGAATTTGAACCAGTGACGATAACTGATATAACGCGCCTTTCTGCTGGAAAAACGTTCTATTACGACTTGACTGCTATACCTGGAAACCTGCTACGCAGTTTCACCCCGTCTACTTGCGCGGAGTCAGGAAGAACACGACTGCGGGAAAACACGCTGTACTGTCGTCTTCCAGTTTGACAAATGAATGAAATGCCTGAAAATATATAGCAGAAATAGTTGCCAAAAATGGCCATTTACTCGTTGAACCACTGTCCGCTTGTTTAGACCACTTCATGACCGTTTGACCAAGTAGGGCCAATTCCATAGCCGTTTCGCTCTGATTGGTTCCTCGGGCTAGCGCAACACCCACACTCACTTCCACTCCTCCTCCTAGTTGACCCGACTTGCATACCCGTGCTTTGCTGGTGACTGAGTTCGTCAGCCGTCACCGAAGGCTTGACTGGTTTGCAAGGATAACTGATTTCATCAGCCGTCACCGATGCTATGATTAGATCGTTTTGATGAATTCGCCTCCAAACAAAAGCAATGTGGTCAAACGTGGCAAGTGCTCTAATGACGAAGTTACGCTCAGAAATTTCACATTTGGATTGGGCCACCCGTCCAATCATCCCTAAAAGATTCTAGGTAATGATCTTCTAGGCAAGGCTTCGTAAATGGCCTACGCCTGAATTCTTCAAGGCCTTTTTGGATCAGCATTACTTGTAATGGCACTTTGTCGAGTCATCATCTACCGAAGGCCTCAAAACAGTTTACAGGTATACCCATGTTCAAACAAGAGTGCAAATTTGACCTGACAAACTGTCGATCAACAGTGTTGCTTTCATGGGGTTGTAAAGAAATGGAATACTCGCTGGATGCTTTCTTGCCGACCAGGGTATCGGACTTCGAACCAATCCGTAATGTGCAATACGGCTTTCGTGGAGATAGTAGTGCGTCACAAATCTGTTGATCGATCGTGACTTTTGGATGAAGGCTGCCGATATAGAGATGACCAGTGTTATGATTTATCCATATTTTCTCGAGGCCTGTGATAGAAATGTTCAGACTATCCTGCTACGGAAGCCTCACAGTTATGGCTTATTCGGGTGACTTGAAGTTTACCTGACTGAACTTCAACGTGCGCAAAGTGGTAACACATTTTTGCCTGAAAACAACAGTGTAACGTAAGGATCTATTTTCGGACCTGTACTATTCATTCCTATCGTTCTTGGACTATGCACCATTATGAACTCATCGATGTTGCATTACGTAGCGAGTTGAAGAGCGTCCGACAGATGTGGAAACCCCTCATAACTTTTCTGACTGTGAGCCGTAGACGAACTTAATGTTCAAAGTCAACAACCGAAAATTCATTCACATTCACCATCAGAACTGCTTTCGCTTCTACTTTGGCGAAACGAGACCATTCGTATCTGTATGCTAACGAGACGTAGGGACCCTAATGGTAGACAAATACAGTCTGTCGCCAAATATTGCAGCCATGTCTCGAAAGTACAAACGACGTTGTGCCGCTGCGAAAGAAGTGGCGGAACCTGAAGTTTTTCTCACATGTTCCCCCTCAAGTGGAAACCATCAGGCAGTCCTGAATGTTGGGTATGATATTTGTTCACTGTCCGGAGACAGGTCATTAGAAGTGTTACGGGACCCAGAACAGTTCTCTCCTCCGAGAGACTAATGAAATTTGGTCAGTTCCTAATGAATTACAGTCATAGAGGATTTTGGTTTTCATATAGATTGAACATCACTATGGCGCATGCGGCGCAGTGGGAAACTCGATTGCCTCATGAACAGCGTGTCCAGAGTTTTAATTCCGGCAGTGGCGAGGATATGCACTACTGACGAGCTATAATGAGAGCGAAACTCGAGTCTAGTGCTTCTTTTCAAAAGGGGCCGACTGGAAAGTCTATGGGAATGCGACAGCCGCGATCAATTGTGGGTGATATCCAATCCATATGAATTAAAGTCACTTTAATTGGGGTCGTAATATTCACTCACAAAATATTGTTAGACCTCAATTCATCCAAAAAGCATTCTGGGTTCGGTACACAATCCTTTGCATATACCAGGTGTGAATGAGAATAAAAACAGAACACTCACCCGGAATTTTTAGCAGTGAAGACAAATCCAAGTATCCGGCAGCGATTGTCCGATATCGACCGTCCACGTTTTGGTGCAGTTCAATCACACAACGACCCTGAATGGAACCACAAATCTCTACATAAATTGGTGTTTGCCAGTTGGAAAAAACGACACAAATGTCGTAGATTTTTACAACTGAAGCCGTTCTAACCTAGAAAATGCGATATAACAAGGTGTCATTCAGTTACACATCACAGTCGTCAGCGTAACTGGATGTCGAAATAACATGAAAATATGTGGCTCCTGGCATGGCTTCGTAGCTCAGCTGGTAGTGCACTTGCCGTGATGAGACATGATATTTTTGTCGCTGGTTCGAATCCAGCCGAAGCCCCGACTTTTCATAATTGGGTCTCATCTAAAATCACAACTTTACCAAACTACTTATTAGTAATATGTGGCATCCTTACACAGGTGAAGTGCCGCCAAGCTTCGTGCGGGTGGGACAGCCTAATATGTTGACACAATAAGACCTATTTATCAAATTTTTATCACACACTCTCTGACTATATACATGTGAACGTATTGGTCACAGCGACCATTAAATGAATGAGGATCGCAAATCAGCGTGTGCACATAATATGTCATATTGTCAGAACCGATCCATACACCAGGTAGGACAAGACGATCGCATATTTTGCTAGTCAGTTATTTGCTGGTTTTCTAGTTCTGCCGAACAAATCAACCGCAATGTGTATGGTTTTTCTGCGGATGTCCTTTCTCACAGGCAGTTCCACAGACCGGTTAAGACAACGTAGAACGATTGCTTCCTTCCATGAATGTTGCAAACAGATGAGCTAATTTGCTACGACCCCACATATTCAACGGTTTCAACCATCAACATCTCTGTGCAAGGTCGTAGAGGAAGGTCATAAACAAAATAGTTTGCAGATCTTGCTGTGATCTACCCAGCGTAAAATGCAGACCAGAAGCTGGCGTTTTTTTCTTGCTATTTTGCCTTCCTAGTATTGTGACCGCAAAATACACTTAGGCTGCAAGTCATTTGTTGGACGAACTTCCGTACAGGTTGTGTTAAAACACGGGACGACGAACACGTACACCCATTTGAACACACATTGGGTAGTAGTACGTTGTCATTCGCCCCTGTAGCACTTCCCCATAGCGCGTACACGCTACTCCGATAGTCGCTTCTGGTCCGTCGTCTTCCTGGCGTTGAGGCATGTCCTTTAGCTCCTGAATATCGCTTGTAAGTGGTATCCTATTCACAAACGAAACTGCCCGTTATACAACACTAGTTCCGATAACACGATGTAACACTTGTACATACGCAGAGCCACAACGAAATAATCCAAATAAATCTTCCATGTCGTAATATGGACATTTGGATATGAGAAGATACAATTCTAAACCAGGTCGACTAGAAGAGTGCTCTCCGGACCTACATTCGAATGTTTCTTAAGTTTCGCCGTTGTTGTCACTTCATACGTAAACTATGAAGGTCCAAATCGACGTTGTTCATCTCACTGACATGATCACGGGGCACTCCAGTGAGTGTATCAACAAAAGCGTTTCCTGTTCAACAGAGGTGTGGTTTGTGGTAGTCGAGGATTTCACGATGACCTACTATTTGGTTAACTAATCTGAGCCAACCGAACTTTAGAGGCCTCTACTTACCAGCTCCCAGATCATACTCATTTGGATTTGTACCAGACGTAGGGTATGTGATTGAAACCACAAGTGATTCACAGCGAACAACTTGTGCTACCGTGTATACAGGCGTCCAGTGGCTTTGGTCACTGTAAAAGGTTAGTTCCTAAACGAATGTTGTCAGTTGTGTACATGGTCGCTGATGTACATGGTTACGGGAGTATAACGAACAAGTGATCGATTCAATAGATGAGATCAGTTTGCGTTATCACAGACTACCAATATGACCTTACCTTGTGCAAATATTCCAGAAAGAAGTCATCTATCTTGACGGGATATTGAACGGTTAGGTCAAAATCTGCCCCACTGTCATTCACAATTGCGGTAGATTGGGTTTCAAAATCGTAGAAATCCCATGTTAAAAACAATTTCAAATAGTCTGCTCTCACAAGCAAACCGTGTTCGTCCAACGATTCTCGTTTCGAGGAGAGTAACTGTTCCGTTGCCGTTGAGGACAAAGTCAGTTGTCCAACATGTATCTAAAGGTACACGAACAAATCAGCGCTCAATATTTTGGTATGGATTTACCAACCTTTTGAAATGGTGAATTAGATATATCAGTTCAACGGCAGATAACTTTGGTGTTGGGTTTTCACTGAAATAGAAGTAATTTCTGGTTCGTATTATAAAAGCATCCAATAACGACACTGGATTTTGCACGGTACTACCTGTGTAGCCTTGGATATATTAAGCGAATAGATATACACAATAGTGCTTCCGACTGATCCTGTACAGTGCAACATCGACCGGGCAGATTACACCAACCTAGGTATTTAATCACTGAAGTGGCGACGGAAGTGTCTGCACTAATTTCCTATGTTACGATGGCCCGTTGTCAGGTTTGTGCACCTCTGTAATCAACCCGTTCGATTTGGGACAAAAATTGGTGAACAGCGGATGAAAAAATTGCTGCTACCTACACACTGCTGAGGCAACTATCATGTGGAAGTCGTGTAACAGATAACTTGACACACGGCAGATCACCAAAAAGGAGGACAGAGCAGTAAGGTAGATTGATTAATCATGCATATGTAGTGCTTTGCGTAATCAGTTGAGGTCTTATTGTGGTGAATTATTAGGCCGGAGTTGCGAGTATTCCAACACTGCGTGAAATACCTCAACGTGGATGGGAAGTACGTCCAAAATCATGTTTTAAACCGATACTATGAGCCGTACATGTTGGACAGGATAAAGACAAAGATCGGCTTTCGATAACGCTTGCTATCAGTTTATATATGCCAGCATGGAACTTCATGCGTTCATTTACAGTCAGTGAACCCTCAGTTTACTTTATATTCTTTATAGGGCCCTTAATCCCGTTATTCCCAGCACTTAGGTGAAATATCGTCTTTCAAGCATAAGAGTGAACCTTCCATTCACCCTAGCTGTAACTCAAGTTACCACAGTGAAATCATTACCAGAGATTGTGATATGTACTTATTCACTAAGAAAATATGACTTACCACTCCTCTGGTTTTTGCTTAGACATACTAGGGAGAGTTGTGCGGCTACACAGTAAAACAAAGAACACGGTACGGTGATGTGTCAAATTAATCGTTTTTTCAAAAGTATCATCATTAGTTCCAGTAACCTTTCCTCAGACCATTTAGTATCTGAAAAAGCTATGAACCATCTGTCAAATCACAGATATCAATGTACCATGGACTGGGATTATCACTTAGATTTGTACGACTATTTTAGCCCATTTCTGTTAATGTTCACCAACTTTTTTTAAAATTAATTTAGATTGCGTCCACCGTTCAACTTTGACTACTCAACAGGTTTACTCAGCACAGGAGTACATGCATGTGCACTTCTCATCATCTTGTGATTTCACTTACTGGCGCATGTAATGTTTGAACTGATATTTCATAAACTGTGGCCATAACGGTTATATGTCTTGAGAATTAACAAGTAAAGCCAGAAATAAGCAGTCCAACAAACCTATGGGAAAGAACGCTGCGTGTGAACTTGCCAACTATAGTTAACAGATACACCTCAATAGTACACTACAGTCCTTGTGAATTATTCTCTGGGCAGCTTAAACAATCGAACTAAGATAGCGTTCATTTCGTTAACACAAATATCCGTCCAGGCGTCTTCAGCATCAAATTTTAGGAATCCCGCTACCCAGTGGGGCTAGCCTGTTATAATTTGCTTCATTCACCTGCGCCAACTAACCTCTACAAGGTTTTCCCCTGGTTCAGCTTCTACTCGTCCACCTGGAGTAGATTGAACAGCATCAGCGCGATTTTCTGAACACACATCCAAATCCAGTTGCGTTGTACTCTGCAAGTAAACAAAACATGTGAGCATTCCATAAGTGATTTCAATTTGAAATGAAACTGAGCGGGTGCATTTTGGGTGCGGAAGGTGGTCGGAACGAACAAGGATCATCCACTAGCTGTCAGTATCACGATCGTGATGAGCATCATCAACACCATCATAATCATCGTCACCAAAGACAGCAACATATGAGATTTTTACGTTGAAATTTAATGACCAAACAACCACAAAGAAAAGAGAAAAACCATAGGTAAGAATAAAAGGAGGAGGGAAGGTACCTAACCAACGAAAAATAATAAAATCCTTTGCAGAACATTCTACGTTAGGATACGCACAATTTATAGGCAAAAACCTTACAGCTGAAATTAAGTCTCTTCTCATAAGCTGGATTTCACAGGTTTGCAGCTTTACTCAGTTGAACAACAGTGGTATTCATGGTATTGCACCTGATTAGCCGTTACTTCACCTGAAGTATTCCAACACCGACTCTGTGCGTCCCATAGACCCTGCTCTCATTAGCCAAGCGGAGGTGAAGAGGCTGTGGTGACAGAGCAGTACGGTGAGACGATATGTTTTGTGCGATCTTCAATGAGGTGGCCAACGTAACCACACGTGAATTCAGTGATATACGTGGGGTCAGTTAGTTATAGAGTTGTGCACAGGTTAAATCCGACGTTTGCTGAAGATAAACTTTATCACAAAAGTTAACCCGATGGTCTGGATAAAAGAAGCAGCCAGTACTTTGTTAATTTCAATCGAAGAAAAGCCTAAATCAGAAAAAGAGAGGAAGATTCCATACTTTTGCTAAGGTTGGGGTCTACGATGAACTCCCCGATTGTGAAAGTACCAGTAGGGCTGTACTTCAGGGCTGAACACTTCCACCTTTCTTATTTAATTTTGTCATAGACAAAATAATACAAGACTATTTGCTCCACACATCAAATACCGGTATAGGATGTATACTTATGTGAAATTTGACTGATCTTGATTACACTGACGACAAGGTGTTGCTAGAGTGGTAATCATTAATCTAGTGCATCCCTTGCGATAGCGAAGTGTCGCTTTGGGTCGCGTATATACGGCGAATGTGAAGACTGTTTAACTCTGCAGCTTTGCAAGTTAGGCGCTCAGAGATGCCAACAGTCTTCAGGTATTTAACAGTCAATGTCTGCGTTCAATCGTTCGCATCGGGGGGGCACTCAAGACTAGGTTTGGTAGTGATTACTGTAGTGAGATTGGATTGGAACGACTTCCTGACTGGGGAAAGTTCAGCCGATTAGAACTCATGCACAAGCTACTGCAAGCGGAAGTGTGGTCGATCGGTGCCAACCAGTCAAAAAACAGTGACTACCTGTTACAACGAATTTGTTTGTAACAGGT